CATTCCTTTCTCCACAGCACGAGGGCAACAAGGTGAATTCACCGAGATAAGTCAGTCTCCAATAAGGCTGTGGTTATCTACTATCAACTTGTGCTATTGCCAAAGTCACTGAAATATGTATTTCCCTTATTTACAGAGTTCTCTGACTGCAAAATGTCTTGAACTAGGGGCGGGGGGTGGGGGAGGGCGGTCATGGCAACAGTTACAGCGCTTTTCTGAGGAGAGCAGAGCCACCGCCAAGCCACTAGACGAAGCTGAGGCCATGGCGCTCTGCCTTGACTTGCTCTTCAGTTGCGTTATTTACTCCAGCATCTTCCTTCAAACACACTGTACATCCCGGTAACCACAACAGACTGCAAAAGTCCTTACAGAGTGAGGCTCATGGGTAAGTCAACAGCTTCTTAGAAAGTCATGTGCGTGACATGAGTAATGATACAGATACACCACGCTGTTTACTTCCGAATCAGACTACATGCCAATGGTTAAGGCTGTCAGTTACCACATAAATGGAATGTCTAACCCCAAGCAGAAAACTCAATCTATCCTTCATAAAGGATTTGAGATGGAAACAAAAACACAGATGACACAACATGCCTTTCGAAGTCAATGAGCAGTTGAAAGCCTTGTTCCCAGCTGTGGAGGGAGAAGCTTAAATAAAACATGTATACGAGGAGTAAGTGAACAGAGTGTGGGCACAGCACTGGCCACGCCTGTGAGTTATTTGGGGCCTTAGCTAAATGCTGTTCTAGGAGTAAAGGTAGCCGAGTCAGGCCAACAGCACGCCGATGAAGAGACGGGACTTTAATGGAGGAAAAGGGGTTGAGTCAAAAGTCTAACCAAGTGTAGGAACCAAGATTACTTCTCATGTAGTCCAACTTCATACCTAACTAGTACAAAGGGGTTTCTCTAGATGCCAACTGACTACTCCAACTTTTTACCTTAATTAGTGTAACAAGGTTTTTTGACATCAAAACACCATTCCTCTCGGCACTGTGGCACAGTCTTTTCAAAAGGTCTCATACATTAATTACTGCTGTCTCCCTAATTTTTAAAAGTTTTGAGAATAAAATACTGAATTAGGGCTTTTCTTATTAGTGAACACACACTCTGAGAAAATCATTCTTAAGAATTAACAGTTTAACCTAATAGAAATGTGGTATTTTTTAGACACATCTATAGCTAATGGATCATTATTTGGATACAAGTGTTCACACTGGTGCGAGAGCAGCGCTTCTGCACACCATAGCGATTAGCTGGAAATGCGCTAAGGGGACAAAAGGCCGAGCCCAGGGGAAGAATGAAAGCAGTCTGAAGGGAGAGACTCGGGGAGCAGACAGTCTCTCTGGATGGCAGGTGGCTATTCTCACGGACACACACACCCTCACTAGTCAAGTCTTCAACACTGAAATGAAGCATTTAACATTCGGCTAATAAGAAACCTTATGAATACTGAAGCCTAAAACCATTCAAATATTAGTCATTTTAACCTCAAATATGTTCATAAATTCCTACTTCACAATATCAAACATCAAACCAGGGTTTAACAGGCTGCATCTTATTCACTGATGCCCTAACCTATATGGGGGGGGGGGGGGGGGTTAAACCAGCTGAGAGTCAAGATGCTGAGAATTCCAGGAATGTGATTCTACACACTTTTAAGCTCATGTCTGTCCTTTCCCAACTTGTTAACGCTGCGTCTCCCAGGAGCTTCTCCGCATCGCACTAAACAGTGTTCCTGTTCCTAGGAAGCCTGTCTGCAAGTCTCTGCAGCCACATGACGGAACCGGAAGGGTCTGTATACGTCCCTCAACCCAAGCCTGGGCACGGGGAGACGCCGCTGCCTGGCGCCCAGGTGGTCCTTTCCCGTCGCAGCATCTCAGATGGAAACGCACAGAGGAGTGAAGGACAAGGAAAGCAGTGAGCGGACATGCCCAGTGGGAACACTGATGGCCTGATCTTCCAATGGCTGGTAATATGGCCACTCTATAGGGTGGTAAGGAATGCCACTAACCCATCGCCTACATTAAATGTTATTCGGGGGGAGGGGGGGATCCCCACGCCCAGAATAGGGAGAGGGCACTGGAGTGCCTGAGAACAGCGCAGACTTGACACCCACAGCCCAGAACACACTCAGCCTCAGGTTAGAGCGCCGTTAACCTTTCCACTCAGTCCTCAAAATGTGGATTTCACAAAGTGGTGGGTCCCTGCTCATTACGGGAGGTGCCATCTCTAAAAGCTATGGCTACTGTGACCCTCTCACAGCCAGTGAACAGGAAGTGCTGGGAGGTCGGGTCTGTGGGATCTGGCCCAGGACACAGCCCGCTGACCCACTGGGTGCCTCTCTAACTTAGAGACGGCGGGACAACCTCACAGGAAAGAAGAGCCGGAAATGGGCTCAGGTGTTTCAAGAGCTGCTGGCTCCCTTGGGTGGCAGGACAAAACGCTCTTAGATGAACAGAGGAATCAGAGGTCCCACAACAGAGCCACGAATTATTCTGCCAACCAGAGTAATACGCTCTCTCATCAGACCTTGAGACGAAGAGGCCCAAAGGACAAATCTAAGGACTGGGGCTACCATTCACCGCAGGTCAGACTGGATCTTCTCCCCTGTGAAGACCAGTGTCCTCACCTCATTTTGACTCTCAGCTATTTTAGTCACTATTCCTCTTGGTCAATTCTGAACCTTAGCATGAACCAATATAAAAATATATACATGTCTATAGAGAGAGATCAATACCATTTAGGACTCATTTCATTAGCGTGAAGAATGAACATTTTTGCTAGCTTAAGACAGACCACGTATCATTCCATGAACAATCATTCTAATGACCTTAGACTGAAAAATGAACCCCTGAAATGAAGCTGCCCTCAGCAATCCACGTCCTTTCAAGCATGTTATCTACTGCTGGGAAGCAACAAGGACAAGCTTCAGGGACTTCAGTCTAAACAAAGTGATGTTTACACGGCAAAGAATAAACAGCCTAATGGATATGCTAATAGTCATTCCTTATTTACAGGCTTTAGTACTCTAAACTTGACCTATTGCTATATACACACGAACAGACACAAGATGATGCATTTCACTATTATACTAAGACAACAGCAGAGAAGGCAGGGGGACCCTAATACTCCAAAAGTGAGGACACAACATAAAATAAAGGGGGAGTCTACATAAACACCACCTCCTCATTTGTGCTGTAAGTACAAAGGGTAAGAAGGCTACCCAGCCAGTATGGCGATCCTCACTGCTGTGACCAACCAGCAATGTCATCAAAGAAAATGCTAATTCCTCCAACTGAATGGCATTTTGAAAAATCGGAGAGCCTGCTATTTCCCAAATGCGGAAGGTTATCTCAGAGGAGGAACATTCTTTGAGAAAAGGACGAACCATGAACAAACCATGAGTCCAGAGTGGACACCTGGTTGTCTGTTCTTCCCAGTGGAGTTTGTAATAACCTTGGACGTGTCACAGCCTCAGCCTCCAGACAAGAAAAGGATGGTCCCTATTTATTTGGCCCCCAACTTATAAACCTTAAGAGTGAAATTGAGAAAAAATTCTACAAGGCACTGTAAGCTCTCAACAACCATGCTATTCACATAAGAAGTGTTTTCTCGGCGACAGCCTCAGTCCATCAGAAAGCCTCCTGCTGGTGGGAAGACATTAAGCTCCCCGATCATTTCTAAATCAACTTTGGACTAATCAAGTCCATCATTAATGAAACTGATTTATAGAATACAAAATAGTTAATGTCATTAGGACTGAGTTTTGATTCAAAACCTACAAAAGTACCTAAAAAAGTAATAATTTTGCCTGAATATAAGCTTAATAAAATCATGCGATTTAAAAAGTATCAGAGTACAGAAAAGTCAAAGAAAGTAGATACACAGGCAGTGTCCTTCATCTGTCATGGAGTTTGGGAGGGGATGGTGCTGCACAGACACCGAACTCCAGAATCTGCGGAGCTTCCCTCTACCACCTTCTGTGCACCTTGCCCTCGTGAGGGGGCATCAGCCCGTGAACGCCGAATCCCATCTATGGAGGTTGCAACTGTGAACCAAGCCATGTCAAGATAAAGGGTCCTATGATCACACAGGTCCTGTAACCCTCCGGGAGGCACGCTACTGAACCAGGAGCTCCTGCTCACAGCACCTCTCACACGTGCTGTCCATTCTGTAAGGGCGATACTGACAATCTCCCCACGGCCAAACATGCACCAAGTGCCCCTTACTCATGGCCAGTTTGCATTCAAACATCTTCATGCTCTAAGTCACTTAACTTTTTAAGCAAAAATGAATAGGCCGGGTTTGGATGGTCTTTTGAAAAGGTGTAGCAAGAAAAACACTGATCAAGAATAAATATACTCTCAGAATTAAATTTTCCCTCTAAAGCCTAAACAACCTCCATATAGCGTGATCTGATCAAGCAGGGCAACCTAGCACTAAGGCAGTGTCAATTTTTTTTCAATTTCTGAACATATCTTCCAACTGGATCTACTTGGGAAGCCATCTGGCTACGCAAGAGCGTCGCCAAATGCCAAGCACGTGCCTAGGGAGTTAGTGGAGTACAAGCAATCGCCTGCTCAGCGGAAGCTGGTCCGACACTGCTTAGGGGCTGCAAAACTCCCAAACAATATGAACAACCTTAATTTGGCCAATGAATGTGGAGGTCATCAGCAATGTTACTTCATCTTCCCCCCATAACCACTTAAAAATACAGTAATGGCATATAACTTTATAAAGACAGACTTGGTGGTCATTTGAGTATGGTTCACTAAAATTCAAAGTGGGGGGAAAAGGAACTGAACAAACTTTCCCCCAACACTGCATATACTGGTGGTACAAGAATAGCTACAGAAAGATGGTCTTCCTTTCTTTTGGCAATCAGAATCCACAGGCTCATGCTAACCAAATGAACCCGGCAACTAACTAACTTGTCCTGGAACAAGTACCTCACTAGCACATAAGTTAGATTTTCAGTACAGAATTGATTATACAATCTCTACAAGTGCAAATTTTTTTTTTAAAATGGTAGGAGGGATTACAGAGGCAGGAAAAAGCTCTGAAATGAGCAAGTCTTCTACTTCAGGCTAAAATCTACCAGGACCTGGCAGTGCAGACAGTTCACTTTCTCCTGACAGCTTATATCTGCTCTACGTGTTCTGTGAGAATAATTGGTCTTACTTTGGTATGAAAAATTTTAAACCACATTTGCACAATTCAGTCTATTAAACAAGCTTTGCTTCATTTACATTGAAAGTTTACTTTCAGCCGTCTCTGGGAAAATAAAGTCTTGCAAATAGATGATGTTCTGCTGAGTAAAATTTGGCTAAAACCTACAGCGTAAACAATGCCTGAAAGATGCAACAGTTATGTAAGTTTTTTTTTTCCAAAGACCAGTATTTTCTTAAGTTACTGTCTCACCATATCCTTAAAAGTTCATAAGGAAAAATAAACAAACATGAAAATTCCAAGTGAACACACCGCAAAAAGTCCAATGTCTAGTATTAGTTTAACATGTGGAGGCTCTTCCAGCATCTGTAAACAGACCGCCTCCTCCTCCATCAGGTCTCTGAGACTCCTCTTGCTGAGGCTCTGACTTTTAAAGCCACAGAACCAATCTATTAACTTGCAGCAGCGGCCTCCATCCTCTGCTTCTTTCTTTCTCTCTTTTTCACCCATGAGTGCTGCTTGCCCATTGGAATAAGCGTCTACCGGTGTTTCTGCCTCTGAATGACCTAAGGAAGCCGCAGGGTTGCCCTCCTCCCTGCAGGTCCCCAAGAGGTTAACATCTTCAGGCTGAAGGCCCTTAATGCTGTCTTCAGACTTCCCATTGGGAATAATGTGGTTGATGGGCTCACTGTTCTCACTGCATCTCAGGATGCTCTTCTCCTGCATTTTGTATGGTTCGTCTTTCGGGGAGCAGCTCTCCTCCACCACCACGCTCTTCTTAGACCAAAAGGTGGTGGTACGGATTTGTTCCTTCGTGGGGGGTGCCGTGAGGAGGCTAACAATTACAGTAATGAGTCCAGTGACCCAAAACAACGCGGTGGCCACGTACATGTAATGAATGTCTTTGATGAAGCCAGGCCTGTTATCGGGCTGGTCACATTCCGGGGCCCGGTAGGTGAAGGCTAGTATTAAGCGCACTGCTCCGAGAACAAAGCCAGCCACTCCACCATAGAAAGCCCCTTGCTCATTGCAGCGCTTCCAGAAAATTGCCAGAAGGAACAGGGCCGCCACGGGGGGCGTCAGGTAATCTGCCACCTCCTGAATGTAAAGGTACATCTGGCCTCCTTGCATCTCCACGATGATTGGCACCCACGCGATGCTGATCACCACCATGAAAGCCACAAATACCCTCCCCACGATCATGAGTTCCCGGGAGCTGGCGTTCTTTCGGATGAGTTTGTACACATCCAGGGTGAATATGGTGCTGGCGCTGTTAAAGATCGAGTCCAAGTCACTCATCAGAGCCGCGATCATCACCGCCATCATCAGGCCCCGGAGGCCCACGGGGACCAGCTTCATGACCAGGCGCGGGTACGCGATGTTAGAGCACCCGGCTCTGCTGCCGCACACCTGCATGCAGTGCTCCGGGTTGATGCAAGCTATGTCATCCGCAAACAGTATCCTGGAGATCATGCCTGGGACCACAATGATGAACATGGGCAGAAGCTTCAAGAAGCCAGCCATCAGAGTGGAGCCTTTGGCGTGCGAAATGTTTTTAGCTGCCAGTACCCTCTGCACGATGACCTGGTCGGCGCACCAGTACCACACGGAGGCTGGGGTCTGCCCGAGAAGGAATCCAGGCCAAGGCACATCTTCATCTGTCGCACTCCGCAACATTTTCAGTGCATTTTTCTTAGGGTGGACTTTACAAGAATTGGTGTTGGAAAGGTTGTATGTCAACAAGATGGAAGTGACATTGGGTGAGGCCAACATGTACCTTCTCTTAACTTCCTCAAACCCGCCAACCTCCATCATGCTAAAAACCATAAGCGTGAGGGCCCCAACGATCATGAGCAGTGCCTGGAGAGTGTCTGTGTAGATCACCGCAACAAGGCCTCCGGTGACAGTCAGCAAGGCAGTCATGCCAATGAGCAGGATGACAGACACATACAGGTTCCAACCCAAAGACTCTTGGATAAAGAGGGCGCCTGAATACAGATCCACTGAGAGCTTGGTGAAGATATAGAGAATCAGAGACAAGGCTGCAAAATAGACCTGAATCCTATGGCCACCAAAGCGCTTGGACAAGTACTCAGGCATGGTGTACACCCCCGACCGGATGTAAATCGGGACGAAAACCCATCCCAGAAGCTGCAGCAGCAGTAAGGCATTGAACTCCCACGCACCGACTGCAAATCCACTGGCCGCTCCAGATCCCGCCAGCCCAATGAAGTGCTCACTCCCAATGTTGCTCACAAACAGAGAGGCCCCAATCGCTACCCAGGTCATCGAGCGCCCGGCCAGGAAGTATCCGCTCACGGTGCTCCTGTTAGACTTCCACATGGCAAAGAAGCCAATGCCCAGGACCAGGACAAAGTAGAGGGCCACCACGGCAATGTCTGCCGTCTCCAGCACAGCCCGCATGTTGGTCACTTTGTGAATAACGGTGTCCAACAACGGAAGTGTCCGACTTGTTATTTACGCATTAGTAACACAGCCAGGGCTGTAAGCCGTACGGGAGCTGGACTACAGGGCCACAGAGCAGGCAGTCTTTGTCCTTTGGTTTGCTGTCTTGATGGTGGTGGTGTGATAAACTCGGAAGGAGACAGTTTAAATTTTCCTCTGCTTCTTAATTGGGATTGAGAACTTAGCTCGTACTCTTAATCCACTCTCACAGACCGTCAGCATTTGCCCAGGTGCGGGAGGAGAATTCTGAGTTGCAGCTAAGTCTAGTGAAGCCTACTGTACCAGCCCTGCAAGGCAGCAAAGACAAAAGACAAAGGTTGAATTAGAGGAAGCGCTCACCACGCGACGAGGAAATGTTCAGTCTAGCAAAACGGCGCAACAAGACATTCTTTATAAAAAGAAAAAAAAACTCTGAAAATATATTTCATTTCCACAGGAAAGAGCAATTAATACTATCACAGCTGATACTTAAAAGTCAGCGAAAAAATGTATCATTTTGAACTAAGAATATAAATTAATTGACCTCACAATTAAATGGCCTAACTTCTCTAGCAACTAAGAACTGTTGGCCGTGACATTGCCCTTTCGTTCTTACTATGGTGTCTCAGACTGGAACAGGCGCCAAGATCTTAAAGCACCTTAAAAAGGGGCAAAACACTAATTATTCATAAAGAGCATCAAAATGAATCTTCAAACACTATAAATCCCAGGAGAAATGTGACAGCCAGGCAAGTCCCTGGAGAGAACAGACAGGTGGTTCTTCCCAGGTGCTGTCATCTACCCCAAACAGAAAAGAAGTACTGCTTAGTCTGTGCAAATCTAATGCTCTAAAACGTTCCTAGATTCCTACTACAAATGTACATCTGTACTAACGATCACACAGGAACCTAGAAGCTGTGAGGCGACTCCTGCCCTAAAGGGAAAAAAGGCACTCGACACACACACACAAAAAGTAGGAATATACAACTCAAAAAATAACCCCAAATTTCACTCTTCCGAAAGCAGACACTGAATGATTTAAAAAGTTCAAGAAGCTCGTTTCCTTTCCTTCCTCTTCATCAGACAATTATTTCCAAGAGAATCTCTGAGCAGATAAAAGCACCAACAAAGGCTTGATTTTGTTGAATATTTTTTTTCTTTTAATGCTTTCCTGTTGAAAGGTATAGAAAGCAAGGAGAAAAGGAAGAGGAGAAAGTTTCCTGGAAGACTGAAAAATAATTCAATTTTTATTATATTTCCAAATCTCAACAAAACAGACATCTGTCAATCATCTTCAGTCAGTGAGACAGGTATTTTCCAATCTGGACTACGAAAATCACTCTGCAAAACATATTTAGAAGTACTTAACATCAAGTTTATGCATTGATGGTTTTTCTCCTGGAAAAGAGATAAATTCTGAATCTTCAAAGTTAACTATGATTGTAGCCCACAGATCAACATGAAGAACATTGTTATTCAAACCCTGCCTTCAAAAAGATAAGTAAAATAAAATAAACAAGCCTGCCTTCCATATGCAGCAGCAACCTCAGAGTGAAATGTTCTTCTATGCTTGGCAAAGCACGTTCTGTATGAATCTAGGCATTTTTCTTTTAAAATAAGTAGCAAACTCAAGTCCTAGAAATGACACTAAAGCTACCTCTTTCCAAACTATTCACCATGGACCACAGTACTCAACACTGCAGCCCACACCTCGCACCGCTGGGAAAGGGCCTCATTCATACAGCTGCCCAGATAGCAAACGTTTTCATGCCATCTTGATGCCTTTTTAAGATAAAGCACGGCAATAATTGTACAAGGAAAAGTGGTCAAACCCTTCCTCCTAGAAGCCAGTGTCAATAATGACTGGCATGGAGCCACTGCCATAGCCCACAGCCTAGGGTACAGCAGAAGTGGGGTTTCCATCATGTCATACTTGCCAAATCCTGAAGGCAGTCAGATTTCCGTGTCCACTTTCCCCTCAACAAAAAACTTTCTGGTTTTTAAAAAATATTTGGATAGTTTTTAGAAGAACCATCTAATTTTTAATAAGAGTCTAATCAGATGACCAATAAACAGGAGTTATTTAACAGGGTCAGGTCCTCACGTAGAATGAGAACTGTGGCAGGTGAGACCCTGCCTTCCAGAGCTCTCCCTGCCCCGACATGCAGGCCGTGCCCTTGGCCTCTTGTTTCAACATAGAGGAGCCCAGCTCACTGGTCAGGGGGCCTTTCGGGTGTCACTCTTCTCAGTGGCAGCAGTAGACCCTGTGTTTCCAGGAAGGGACAAACACCCAGAATGGGTTTTTTTTGGGGGGGGGGAGGGAAGGGGGGGGAGGGGGGAGGGGGGATGTGTGTTGTGGCAGCGGCTTTTTATTAGAAATGCCACAAGCGCACCCTTCCCCGTCGCCGTGCAGCACTGCTGTCAACACTGTCTTCAGCGCAGGTCCCACTCGTCCAGTCGCATGCCTGAGCTGTGCTGCTCCCTGCTGAGTGCGGACTCCACGCCACGCGCGGTCTCCCCTCTAACTGCTCTAGAACAACGGTGAGCGGGAGGCCAGCTCGGCCCACAGGCGGAGGGGTGGGGGACAGAGCTGACCCCGAGTCTACTTTCCGCCTAGGCTTCCTCAAGCGCTTCCCACGCCACTGCCGCCAGTCCCCGCCGGGTGCCATGCAGGTCTGGGGCAGGTTTAAGGTTTTTCCAATTTAAGCAAAAACCATCCAGAGACCAGCACCTGGTAAAGACTGAAAAAGGAAAAATAAAACAAAACCAAAAATAGGTCAATTTAGTTGAAAAATAGAGAATCCTTAATATTTCACATTCTGAACTTCAGAACTTTAGGAGAAAATTGTGCAATCCTTAAAAGTGACTCCAAATAAAATATACAGTATCAGTTCTACCGTTTTTTCTCTCCCTTTAAAACGGCAAACATTTATTTCTACAACAGAACAGCTGCCCCTGGGTGTGAGGGTGGAGGGGGATTGGTTCCAGGCTCCCGGGATACCCAAACCTGTTTGCATATAACCCACATTTGCATGTGGCTCCGGCAGGGAGCGCCTCCATGTCACTTCTTCCTCGTGGGTTCAGCCTAGTGTGGCTGGCCCAAGTTTTGCTTTTGGAACTTTCTGGCATGTTTTTCTCCCCAAAATATTTTTGATTTGTTTTTGGTTCAATCTGCAAATGCAAAACCTGTGGCTACAGAGGGCCAACTCTACAATGAACACTATCCAGCATTCCTTTATTTTTAAAAAGAATGCACATGGAAAAATTTTTTCTTCAGCTAAAAATGAAGCTTTTATATTTGTTTTGTTTTGAATTTCTTGGACTAAGCTGGTTCACAGTTCAAGTAAACCTCAAGTGAGAAATGTGGGACAGTAGGTACCGTACTAAGTATGTGGGTTGGCTCATTGGTAGTACATTTTTAAGAAAACAATTATTTCTCTAGTGAGAGTGGTATTTGTAGAAAGTATAAAGAAATGGTCCCCTAGCGGCAATGGACAGAACAAACTGAGCCAAATCTTGAACACAGGGGTGTTCTGAACCACCAGACTCCTCCTCACCCCCAGAGGCCTCCTTCCCAGAGAGGAATCCAAAGAAATACACATATTTGCTATGTTTGAACAGCTAGAAAGAGACAAACAGGTAAGGCCAAATTTAAATCAGCTACTGAATTCCTTCAACTTATAATTAGTAATAACGACCAAATCCAACATCTTCCTTCTAATATCCAGGTCAACCATTTAATTTCTCCTCCGAACTAGGGTACTATTCTAGGACAATCTGTAACATCCAGGCCGGATGTCCACCCTCTACAGAGAAAGCCACTGTCTTAAAACCAAACAGAGAACAAGAGCCATCAGGCTCCAAGTCATAAAAAATTCACTGAGGCACATGGGCTGGCTAAGGCTAGAGTCCAGTGACCCTAAAAGTGACCAAGCAACGCTTTTAGTTTGGAGGTGAGTTTAAAAAGCACACACCCAGAGACAATGTGAGCAGGTCCAGCCCAGCGCCGTGGAAAACAGGCTTGCCGAGTCCTGTTCATCTTCTGATCCAATGACAATACCCACTTCACCAGCGACTCCTTGAAGGGCTGTGAGCACCTCCGAAAGCTGACATGAGTAGCGGCCTGGGCGAGAGAGCAGGTGAGCCCTGGGCAGGGGTCCGCGCTCTGTCATTTCCTGACTTTATGAGCCTCAACCGTCTCACCTGTGAAATAAAACCACTACCTCGCTCCTGATGGTTTAATAAGGAATAACATGTAAACAGCACAGAATACTGCCCAGTGCCACAGGCAGGTGCTCAATGAAAGTCACTTTACCTTCCACTTGTAAAAACTATTAGTGATGATCATCGGCTTCTTTCAAATTAAACTGTCAACCGCACACCAGGCATGCTAGGATCCTCATTATAGATAAAAAAAAAGAACTAGATAAAATAATATATGAAATATACAGTTCTCTCACAAATATTTTGAAGAGGCTCCCAACCACTCATCAACTATTAGTTCCCATTTAAGTCAATTTATTCAAGTAAAACAGCAAAAAAAATTAAACTGATACAGAATTCTACTTACAGACCCTTTGCTTCCCTTTTGTCATCTTGATTTGAGGCCGCAGAAAAGCAAGTTCTGCTGGTGAAGCAGATTAATGGTGCGTGGAATGGGCATGAACATGCTCAACGAGGCTCTCCTCACCCTCGGCTCACTGTGACATGACGTGGGTCATGAGTGACACTAAAGCAAAATGAGCGCCCCTAATGCAACTGGTATCAGTCCAGCCAATTTCAAATCACAAATGCAGCTGAGGACAATATGAAACCGTATGATGTAAGTCCCTAAAACAATTGAAGAGTCTGCCCTTACATCTCTTTGAAAAAACATTTTTATTACACCTACAACCTCAGCTCTTCCAGTTGTTAAAGAGAACCCAAGAAATCTAAGAAACCCTTCAGGAACTCAGGGAAAGTCAAACTAAATCCTCAGGATTTCTAGTCCCCATCCCAAGTAAACCATTTCTTCAAATAAAATATTCACCTACAAAAGTTCATAAACCACCACATTTATCATTTCATACACATATACACATTCTCCAAGACATCTCATTCAACCTGCTTCTATTGACTAGAAGCCTGGCTTACAGTGCTGGCTTGTTGTTGTTTTTTAAAGAAGTCTCAGAGAAAGAAGGCCAGAGGGCCGTATATGGGGCCAACTCTGAAGCTCCTTGCGGATGATAACGGATCACGAATGTGGAGCAAACTCCAATAACCTACTTTTTTGAGAGATGAAATGTCAGAGCAACAGCACACTGACAGCGTATCCCATGGCCCCAACGTCTGAACAGCTACGTTAACTCCTAATGGGAAGAATTCAAGAGGATCAGCACTATTCCCCCATGAAAAAGCGGTTATCAAAGATGTCATAAATAATGGACATGAAAAATTAAAACCCGAGACTTCCTGACCTAAGCCGACACCTTGCAGGCACTGGGCCTAGTGCTGTGAGCATCACCTTAGTCCTCATAACTTCAGGGCATAGTATGTTATGCTGATCATTTTACAGATGAGAAGACTGAACCCATGAAGCCAGGGTGCAGGTGTCTGCGTTCACGACATCAGTGGCACTGCGTCTGTCTAAATAGCTTCTGCCCGCCGTCACCACACAAGCCTACCTTCAATGAAAAGCACAGTTAACTAAAAAGATTACCAACAGCACACAGGGCAAAACTGAACGAGGGCGTTTGTGTGTGATCATGCGTAGATGGATGTGTGAATGCAGGAAAGTAAAGAGACTCAAAATAAAAAGAAGTCCCGGTCCAGGCTTCCTAGGTAAGTAAATCCGAAGACCAGAGAACCTTGATGAGTCAGCTCTAAGACCAGGCGTCTCCAGGTTCTCACTATTCAAGCCCAAGACTTCGGCCTTCATTCTCTCTTAGTGAAAAAACAAGTCCCAAAGTCTCTTCGACTCCTGGCTGTTTCCATGAGCTCTGTGAACCCACCCAAGCCAGTCCTCCTTCACTGCCCACTCCCACGTCCTTAAGACACGAGGTTGAAGAACTGGCGCGTGTGGTCCACAGATCTAAGAGTTCTCATAGTAAAACCTATGGACCACTGTTCTTACTGCATGAAGTATTTGCGACCACCTATCCTTTCATTTGGGAGTAGAAATAATTTCACCTCCACCCCTTAAACCTGTTCTACTCTCAGTCCTCCTCATCTCAGAGAATGGCAACTCCATCCTCACTGTTGCTCCAGCCAAAGTATCAATTGTCCTTGAACAGCCTGCTCACCTTCTCTCACCCACACACATCAATCCTTACTTAGCCTGTTGACTCTACCCCCCAAAATATCCAGAATCAGACCACTTATCAGCTCAATTGCTAGCACGCTGGTCCAATCACATCCCACCTCATCCAGTTCTAACTGCCCAGCCTCTTAACCTGCACCCAAAGGCTTGGCCCTGGCCCACTACAGGCATTAACTGACACTGCGAGCTGTCACCTCTGTCACCGTGGACACAGTACCAAACACACCTCAGGGCCTTGACACAGGCTGTTTGTTTCCTATGCAAAGTCCACTCCCAGATTTACCAGACTTGCTCCTCTCATTTAAATCTTTGCTCAAAAGTACCTTCCCTAACCGTCCCAATTCCTCCTTCTCCTGCTTTGTTTTTCCATAGCACTCAACACCATCTAACTGACTGGAAAACTCACTGTGCTGTCTCCTCAGTACCAGAATGCGAACTCCCGAGGGCAGGTTCTTGTCTGTGTTGTTCGCCGACGTGGCTGCGTCAGGAACACTCGTGCACACCGCCGGTGCTCAAATGCTTGTTCAATAGGTGAATCAAATGCTAACGACGAAGTACCTGACGGGACAGTGCTGAACTTCCAACACCCTCCACTACCACGCACAGTGGGCTTCTCAGTCAACAGTAAGAGGGGGCAGGCCGCAGGCCCAGGAAGAGGGCATCTCCCCCCACCGAGGGCTCAGCACGTCCACCAGCCCTGGGAAGGGCGTGTGGAGCCTACGAGGCAGGTCACGGCCCTTGTTCAGATAAACATCTCCTGGGCCGAGATGCAGTCAAGTCCGGCCTGACGCCATCGTCCATCCCGACCACCCCGTCAGGCGGGCCCACTTCCCTTTGGTGTCCTAACTCCACTTCCAAGCGTGATCCAATGTCACCACTGCGAGTGTCACGTCCACCTCAGTGCAGGGACAGCGCAGGCCTCCTCGCGCAGTGCGTTCTGTCCATGGTCATTTCCACGGTCAGGACAGGTCGGTGCTCCCTCCAGACAGTCCCAGTGCTCTGCTGGCGTCGCCTAGGAAGAACCCCCCCTTCTCCACCTCCCCATGAGAGTGAAGTTAAATGTTCCCCACGAGACAGAAAGTTACTTTAATAACTGTATTTACCAACATTAGTGCCAGGCACCGTTTTTACACTACATGTATCAATCAGCTCATCTCAGCCTCGCAAAAACCCAGGACGTAGGCATGGTAACTAATACCAATTTACAGATGATAAAATTGAGGACATATTACAGGGTCACTAAGGGAATCCAGAAACATGCTCTGTGAAGTAAAGATGAGGAACATCCTTTCAACACTTTCCAGAAAGATACACATTAAAAAGTTGAAATAAACACAAGTCAGAAAAACTGGCCAATCAATACAGAAGGAATGCTGCAATTAGAAAATCACCCTTTGCACCCTACCAGATGCTGAACCCAGGCAATGATTACAACAGGTGCCGAGCCCTTCCGTGAAAGGCTGAGGGGGGCTTCAGCAGGGATGGGTGAAGTGCCTGCACCACCGAGAACGAACCTTCTCTCTTAAAGGCGGACATCCGCACCCTGATGGGAGGCTGTACCCAGGAACACTCATGAACTCTTGCAAAACAAAGCAACCTGAATCTAATCAACTTCTTCTACCTACTATTACAGGAAATACCCAGAACAGTAAATCACCAGCAAACGACTAACCAAACTCAGAAAATGAGAAGGGAGGGGGCGCCATTCCAGTCATATGCCACTTAAAGGCAGGAGAGATTCTGAGAAAGGCACTGTGTCTTTGTGCAATCACCACAGAGACACTCCTAGCTGGCACTGCCCACTACACACCTGGACTGTCTAGTGTACCACTGCCATGTATACAGTCTGTCATCGACAGAGACATCCTTACCTGGCACATGACTGCCAGAGTAAAACACTTAAGAAGCCATTGGTCTAGACCAGTGGTCGGCAAACTCATTAATCAACAGAGCCAAATATCAACAGTACAAGGATTGAAATTTCTTTGGAGAGCCAAATTTTTTAAACTTAAACTATATAGGTCGGTACATTGTTATTAACTTAATTAGGGTACTCCTAAGGCTTAGGAAGAGCCACACTCAAGGGGCCAAAGAGCCACATGTGGCTCGCGAGCCGCAGTTTGCCGACCACTGGTCTTGACCTTGTTTGGGCTCAGATTCCATTAAACCATGGAGAAACAATGGAGACAATCAGGGAATCTGAACTTGGACTAGACGTTAAGGGTTGCATAAAGGCACTATGGCTGTCTTTTTCAAAAGGCCTTATCTTTTAGACACATATGAAATATTTACAGGTGAAATTTTATATCTGCATTTGCTTTACAGTAATGCACTGATAACTGCTTCAGAATCCTCAACAGATGTTAAAGCCAGTGGAAGTCAGTTGGAGGAAAGAATCTTGTCTCAAACTTATCACTCCATAAACCACCTACTCATTACAAAAGGAAAAAGTACATTTACATGGAACAATCTGACGGGTAAAACCTAAATGAAATGACTGCCTCACATCAACAGCGGGACAAACTGACCCGCTATGAAGTGCTCCTGCCCGATGTTCCACCGATGAGAGAGCAACCAGTCAAACCCAAACTGAGGGGCTCTGCAGCCCGTGGGTGTCCTCTTCAGAGGGCCACTGTCGTGAATGACAAAGGCCTGAGACTGTTCTAGACCAAGGAGGCCAAACAACTAGATGCACAAGGCTTCCGTGAAAACTGGCTTTTAAAACTACAGGGTATTACTGAAATAACGATCAACTTGACCGTACAGTGAACATTTAAAAATAATACTGAATCAATGTCCAGTTTCTGTGCAATGGTTGTTTTGGTTAAGAAAGCCCTTATTCCGAAGAACGGCATGTCAACAGGCCTACACTTTTCAAATGGTGCAGCTAAAATATGGGTAATTCTAACAAATAGTGATCCAGGCAAAAAGTTCACAGGCGTTCACTGAGCCATTCTTGCAAATCCTCCAAAGGTTTACATTTAAAAAACAAGGTTGAGCCCTAACAGGTTTGGCTCAGTGGGTAGAGCGTCAGCCTGCCGACTGAAGGGTCCCAGGTTCGATTCCAGACAAGAGCATGTACCTTGGTTGCGGGCACATCCCCAGTAGGGAGTGTGCAGGAGGCAGCTGATTGATGTTTCTCTCTCATCGATGTTTCTAACTCTCTATCCCTCTCCTCTCCCTTCCTCTCTGTAAAAAAATCAATATATTTTAAAAAATAATAAATAAAAAGCAACGTTGAGGAGGATGAAGAGGGAGTGGTGCCGTTGTGTCCCAGGCCCTAGATGCCCTGGGACAGAGCCTGCCAGCTGAGTGCCCACCCTCCCCACCGGAGGCTCCCCCAGTGTGGCTGCCCGTGGGGGGAGCAGAGGCGCAGCCTCCGCCCAGAGGAAGGGCTCAAGAGCTTGCGGAGGGACTGACTGCTCCGAGCCCCCCCAAGGGCCTGGGCACATGGATTCGTTTTCACTGCACCCTTTCTGTACTAAAAGAGATTGGACACTAAAAATAAGTAAGTAATAGGTAAAGTTAAAAATGTATAAAATAATCCAGCAAAAAATGGGGAGGAGAGTGGAGGTGAAGTAAGATTGGTAAAGTTGATTAACTGTTTACACTGGGTGAAGGGTCTCGGGATCAATTCCTGGCCAAGGGCACTTACCTGGGTTTCAGGTTTGCTCCCCGCCCCGGTTAGGGTGTGCAGGAGGCAACCAGAGGATGTGTTCTCTCACATCGACATCTCTCTCTCCCCATTCCTCCCTCCCTTCCACTCTCTGAAAGGCAATGGAAACAACAGCCTCAGGTGAGGCTTAACCAAAAGAAAAGGCCGAGGGGCAAACAGCACTGAACCCTCCAGGAAGGCTTAGAGCCACGCCTGCTGAACAGCATGGTGGGTGCGGCTCCCAGCCCAGGCCCAGCGAACAGCACCCTGCGCCCTCCCTCGCCCGAGCACGCCAATGAAAAGGAAATCTGCCCTTTCTGCCCCTTCCGCGGGCTGTTTCTCTTCGTAGCATTTGGTTTGTCTCCTTCCTAGAATGTAGCCTCCCCGCAAACTGGGGCTGTCTGGTCACCCCGCATTCCCTAACACACGCTCGAGCTGGCCCTGGTAGGCACTCAGTCCTGTGAGACCTCCTCCATCGCAGTGGCGCCTCTGCAGATGCTGTCACCAGCGGGCAGCTGCCAGGTGGAGGCGGCCTGTGGAGCCTTGCTGAGCGCTTCCTGGGCTGCTGTGACACCGTTGTTTTTCCTTCTATAAAAGGAGACCACTCTCTCTAACCCTGATTCAGCCGGCAGAACACACAGGCCCTGAGAACCAGGTTTAGACCGTAAGGTGACAGAGGGAGGACATCCCACCAGGCCCATTTGTGGTTCACCCTCATCCTACTGGCTGCCAACTTCACGGCCCTAGAAAAACCATTCCTAAACCAGATACCAATTTTGACTTTTCCATGTGACTGAGGCCAGAAAATGTAAACACAAAAGAGTTTTCCTGGTGGACCAACTCTAACTCCCCAAGGAGTCCAAGTCATAATAAAAGATCCTAGAATTGGGATATTTCCTCAGGCAAACACTTTTGGTTGGAATATTTTTAAACTTTCTAATTTTCCCAAGGATCAGAACCACTTCCATTGGATGTCAAAGGTAGAAGACCTTGAAATTACAGCTTCAAATTATTCCATCCTAATCAGATAAAATATTTAATAAAGAAATGGTATTAAGAGAAATTTCTTTTCTTCATGTTAATCTTCTTAACCTGAATTTGCAAAAGCTCCTGGCTGTCCGTTCACAGGTGAGAACACATTCCTGAGACCCACAGCGCCACCAGCGTCTGCAGACTTAGTACCGTCCCTGACGGAAACTTGGTACCAAAGGTTAGCCAGGCAGCACAATGACACCGCTTTCACATGAAAATGCTAACAGAACAGAAGGTAATAGTGCACGAGCGAAAGAAAAACAAAACCGTCTACTACTGGGTCATGTATTTCCTTAACGGGTTCAAGTAGTTTTTTAGAAGGACACTGAAGGACATCTTTCCTGTACCATTTGCCTGGCAAAGATCCTATCCCCAAATTTAGCTTTCCACTCAACAGAAACTCACCTTTGAACATGAACCTAAACCAGTACTGAATGATGTTTTATATTCATAATTTGCACATAGGGCACCTGAACACAAACTGAAAGCAGGCAGATGTCTGGCCTACCCTCCCCCCACCCCCCTTATAGCTGTGCCTGGAATTCCTCACCTGACAAACTTAAAGTGTTTTAACAGCCAGGGGAGGGTCGAGAAGAGTGCTTTAAAAACTTAACTCCAAACAAAGACAAAACCAGGGATTCATTCTGGGGTAGACGCAGACAAATGCCAGTTGATGAGCACTGAGGGTTCCAGGTCAAGATATTGTTGTTGGGGCCACGCTTTCTCTTGCAATTTCATTTGGAAGCTCTCATCCACACCAACCTCTACAAAGTTTTCCCAAAGTGGGTAGGAACTAGGGACCTGTAACCTCAGAAAAATGGTAGGGGGACTAGGTGACTGATTGTCCCTGGACTTGAAGGTGTGTGTTTATCTGTGATCTGCTGTTACGTATCTAGAGTGAGTGGAAAAGTGAAAAAGACAAAATGGAAAACTTGGCTTCCATTCTATGAAAACGTGAAGCCTGGTCAAAAAAAAAAAAAAGCATTTGCCCTGGCGTGTTTGGCTCAGTGGATAGAGCATCAGCCTGCGGACTGTAAGGTCCTGGGTTCTATTCCGGTCAGGGCACACGCTGGGGGTTGTGGGCTCAATCCCCAGTATGGGGTGTGCAGGAGGCAGCCAATCAATGATTCTCATCATTGATGTTTCTCTCTCTCTCTCCCTCCCTCTCTGAAATCAATAAAAATGTATTTTAAAAAAACAAAAGCATTTTGTCATCCCTTTGTACCATAGCCTGTAAAGAAGAGCACCTAGCTTTTTCCATGGTCATACTTTTCCAAGACCATGGGTCATACACTCTGATGTGAACTTCATAGATACACCCCAAGCAAAATAAAAAGCCACTTTCCAGCCAAAGCCATCTTTGCCCAGAATCACCCGGACACACAGAGAAAAAGTGGCAGTTCATCCACCTTCAAGTCCAGGGACAATTAGTCACCTAGTCCCCCTACCATTTTTCTGAGGTTATAGGTCCCTAGTTCCTACCCACTTTGGGAAAACTTTGTGACACCAAGTCATACTGCCAGAGGTCGAAGACAGTTAAGGGCATCTTTAAAGAACCAAAACCTATTATCTAAATTAGAACTTAGCTCTATCTAAACAAATACATTACATTTGGTCCATGGTGTTTAAATGTCTTTTAATTAGTTGCCAACATCTTAAAAATCAATTTCCTGTAAAACCTGGAGTTATGGTTAGGAATAGGATAGAAAAGGAGGAGCTGGCAAAACCAGGACCACGTTCCCATGGAAGTGACAGACTGGAGTGGTAAACACCAGCGCCCACACACCCGTTTCCCCCAGCCACTGGCCCACCCAACACTTCCCACCTTGAATTAACACATCGCAAACCATGACCAAGTGATCTAAGGCTGAGGACAACCATTCATACTTACCCAGTTTAAAACATGATAGTTAAAAAGAATTAACACAACCTATTCCTCAGGCAGCTTTGTTGAACAGCTTTTATTAACTCATGAACACATTTACACTGCACCATGCCAGCTCCCAAGGAGAATGAAATGGTTTAAAAGTTAAAAGCATTACTATTCCTCTTGGCTACACGCTTGTGTCTTCATCGTTTACAACTCACACACACATTTCTCAGTCTGTTTCACACGGTCCCAGTACCCTCTGCCACCCAACATCCCATTATACAGCTGCAGAGTAAAATAATCAGGTGCAAAAAAAGTCACGAATTGGAAATAAAATTGGATTTAAAAAAATGACAGTGAAGTATATATATCAAAAATGCATATTCTCTTGGAAAAGGTCTTATTTGAAACTTGTTGGATCGCAGGTACTCCTGGCTTATAATTACTTAAAAAATCAATTAAGTATGTTAATGAAATATATACATTCCAGCAACGTGTTATAATGTAAAATACTGTTTTAAATCCTTTATAAAAATAAAATCTGAATCAATAGGAATGAAACAAATCTCTTAAAATCACCAATTAAAAGGAAAAATGTAGTTTTATAATACTGTATCAAAAATGAAAAGTAAAATATTAACTGAAAATACCACGTAGCAACAGAAATCAGCCAGGTTCTATCAGCTGCTCCATCTGTTGATGCTACTGAAAAGCGGTCGTCCTTATAGTGTTAGTAGGATGACAACTGCAATCAAACATTTACCGAATACTGTTTAAAATACTGATTTTCTCCCATACCTGCCTCTGATCACCTTAGCACTTACTTAGCCTATCTAAAGTACATAACTCAGTTCTTTAGATTTTCTCTATCCTTCACTGTCCCCAACCTCCTCACCTAAAAAACACATTGAAGTCTTGTAAGTACTGGTTATAGAAAGTGGGGCAGGTGCCCTCGCTGGCTTGGCTTAGTGGATAGAGCACTGGCCTGAGGACTGAAGGGTCCCAGGTTTGATTCCGGTCAAGGGCACATGATTGGGTTGTGGGCTCAGTCCCCAGTAGGGGGTGTGCAGGAGGCAGCTGATCAATTGATTCTCTCATCATTGATGTTTCTCTCTCTCTCTCTCCCTCTCTGAAGTCAATAAAAATATATTTTAAAAAAATAAAGCGGGGCAGGAGATGAACAAAAGCCTGGAAGAGGAGGCCCAGGCACAGTGCCGCAAAGGCCAGTGGCTGCTGAGTAAATGACTCATCTCTGTCTGACAAAGTTGTTCTAAGTTGGTAGAGTTCATAGGCTCCCTCACACTCTATATCAAATATGCAAAGCTTGCCCTTGCTTACTTAGCATGCAAGCTCTTATGTAGAGTGGCTTAAGACTCTAATTCAAATATGTATTGAGGAAGTACTATATTCTGGGTTTGACTCAGTCTCAGATTCTGGTAAAATAACTTACATAAAAGAAATTTATCTTCAGGAGTCTCGTCGTCAATCAAGTGTAAATGGAAAACTAAGCAAT